CTGCCTGCCTCTGCCTCCCGAGTGCTGGGATTAAAGGCGTGCGCCACCATCGCCCGGCTCAATACATCTTTTTAAAAATGTATTAAATACAGCCTCTTTTGTGGAATGTTAGAATCCATCGAATTTATGCCATTCTCTATCTTTTCTCTAAGAAACATTTTCTCTAAGAAAATTGCTCAATAAAGTAGATCAATCTATCCTGAGAGGGGAGCAATACACTTTTAAAGCAAATGGCAAATGAAAGATCTACTATGTGCTGTTGTCTTAGTTGGGGTTCCTATTGCTGTGATAAAACTCTGTGATCTAGAGCAACCTAGGGAGAAAAGATTTATTTGGCTTACACTTCCACATTGCAGTTCATCATCAGAGGAAGTCAGGACAGGAACTCAAGCAGGGCAAGACCAGGAGGCAAGAGCTGATGCAGAAGCCATGGAGGGTGCTGACTACTGACTTGCTCTCATGGTTTTGCTCAGATTTCTTCCTTCCTTCCTTCCTTCCTTCCTTCTTTCCTTCCTTTCCTGTTTTGTTTTTGAGAGAGGGTTTCTCTGCATATCCCTGGCTGTCCTGGTCCTTGCACTGTAGACCAGGCTGACCTTGAATTCAGAGGTCCATCTGCCTCTGCCACCCAAGTGCTGGGATTAAAGGCGTGCGCCACCACCGCCCAGCTCAGCCTGCTTTCTTATAGAACCCAGAGTCAACAGTCCAGGGACGGCGCCACCAACCATGGTTGGGCCCTCCCTCATCAATCTAATTAAGAAAACGCTTTACATCTGGTTCTTATGACGGCATTTTCTGAATTGAGGTTTCCTCCTTAAGATGACTCTAGCTTGTGTCAAGTTGGCATAAAACTAGCCAGAATATATGCCAACTTCTTTAACGGGGCTGGAGAAGGTGCCAGTCCCACAGGCATGTTGGAAGTGCTCTCACAAACTTGCCCCATGTGACTACCCTGAGCAACAGCAAACATGTGCTTACAAAACTGCTTATGGCAGGTGAGTGGCATGCACCTTTAATCCCAGCTCTCGGGAGGCAGAGGCAGGTGGATCTCTGTGAGTTTGAGGCCAGCCTGGTCTACAAGAGCTAGTTCCAGGAGCTCTACTGTGCTGCCCAAGCAAGGTACTGAGGCCACTCTCCTGAGTGCTGCATTTACCTATATACCGGGCATGTGCATAGAAGTCAGAGCACAGCTTGTAGAAGTTGGTTCTCCATTCCACCCTATGGGTTCTGGGAATTGGACTCAGCTCATCGTGATTGGGGACAAGTGCCTTGATTTGCTGAGCCATCTTCCTCACAGTGAGTCCCTGACCAGCTAAGGATAGCCAGTAAAAATCTTATCTTGGAGGAAGAGAAAGAGGAGGAGTACATAAGTAAATAAGTAAGTAAAGCCGGGCAGTGGTGGCGCACGCCTTTAATCCCAGCACTCGGGAGGCAGAGGCAGGCGGATCTCTGTGAGTTCGAGACCAGCCTGGTCTACAAGAACTAGTTCCAGGACAGGCTCCAAAGCCACAGAGAAACCCTGTCTCGAAAAAACCAAAAAAAAAAAAAAAAAAAAAAGTAAGTAAATAAGAATCGTCTGCCTAAGGGCAGCTCTCTCCCTCTCTGGTTCCCATCTGAAGTGTGTACTATCCCCCATCTCTCCTTACGTGCTAACCTCACGTCACTCTGACTCTCCTGAAATTCTCCTCTGTCCCACAGGCCGGAGTGGAGTGGGACTGCTGGACTCCACTGCCCTGCTCCCACTGTGGGCCTGCTTTACCTTCCTGGTGAGATTTCTCTTTTCCTTCCCTGCAAGGGTGTCCACACAGCTTGCTAGTGTGTGCCTGCTTCTTTCCACTCAGTTACCCTTCTGCTTCTCCACACTTTTTAAAAGAGACCTATTTTTCTTTTTCTTTTTTTTTTCTTTTGGTTTTTCGAGACAGGGTTTCTCTGTGGTTTTGGAGCTTGTCCTGGAACTAGCTCTTGTAGACCAGGCTGGTCTCGAACTCACAGAGATCTGCCTGCCTCTGCCTCCTGAGTGCTGGGATTAAAGGCGTGCGCCACCACCGCCCAGCAAAGAGACCTATTTTTATATGTGTGTGCGCCCGTGCGTGCTCAGACACACAGACACGCACGAGTGCATGCTCTGGAAGAGCAGGATGCACTCTTGCCCGCTGCCACCTCTCTAGGCCTCTGTGATTTCTGATGTCACTTCACTCTTCCTGGCTTTTGGATAGGATAGTGTCTCTCAACCTGTGGGTCGAATGACGTTTCACAAGGGTCACCTACGGCCATTGGAAAACACTGATATGTACATTATGATTCATAACAGTAGAAAATTGCAGTTATGATGTAGCAGCAAAGATAATTTCATGATCAGGGATCACCACTACACTAGGAACCGTATTAAAGGGTCGCATTAGGAAAGTCGAGGACCCCTGGGGTAGGGTCTTTCTTCCTTGTCAGCCTGTTTGGCTTCTTCCTGTGTCAGAATGCCAGGAACCACCACTAGATGGCATACAGGACCTTCAAGCTTGCTTCTGAAACTGCTCCTTTCAATATCCTTTGTGTTGATATCAGGGATAGGCAAGGAGTTGGGAAACTTTACATAGGACTCAGGAAGCATTTTGTGCAAAAAAGGAACTTACTTCTGAAGTTCAATGTCAACTGGAACTTAAAAAAAACTTTATTTATTGGAGTGGGGACACGTGGACTACAGAGGTAATATGGAGATCAAAAGACAACTCACACGTGGTACGGTGGTTCACACCTTTAAGCCCAGCACTCTGTGAGTTCAAGGCCAGCCTGATCTACAGAGTGAGTTCCAGGACAGCTGAGGACACACAGAGAAACCCTGTCTTGAAAAACCAAAAACCAAAACCAAACCAAAATAAAAACAAAACAACCAAACCAAACCAAACAAAATCAAAAACAAAACAAAATAAAAGACAGAGTACAGGACCCAGATCTCTCCTCTACCATATGTGTCCCGGGGCCCCACCTCACGGTGGTAAGGTACTCTCACCATATGAGTCATCTCATTGGTCCAATCAGAACTGTGGATACCGAGTTAGTCTAGAATAAAGAATCTGGACAGGAAGGGACACTAAGACCCCAAACTGAACATCTCAGGGGCTGTGCGGGGACAGCCCGATCCTTTGGTAGCATGTTGTGACGCTGGATTCTTTATGACTTAACATTGGCACCCATGGCAGACAATGGTTTTATCTCGAGGCTGCAAGAGTGTCAGATTTCACAGCAGGAGGAGGTTCACGCCCCCTGGTGGTAAATATTGACATTCTCCTCCGACGACCCGGGAGGTGGTAAACCAAGCTGTGTCAGGGTGCTGTTTGCATTTGCAGACCTTCCTCCGCCCTCCATCATTTCAGAGAAGGGATAGGCACTCTGAAATAACTGTTTTATTTAATCTCGGGTAAGAGTTCTCACCTCTGATCTGCTCGGAGTGGGGTTTATTTCAGAGAAGGGACAGGCACTCTGAAATAACTGTTTTATTTAATCTCGGGTAAGAGTTCTCACCTCTGATCTGCTCGGAGCGGGGTTTTCTTTTTTCTCTCCCCTCTCCCAGTTCATAAACAGTTACGTAACCTGTCAAATATTTTGTTTTAGAAATTGAACTTCTAAGGATGCGCTAGATATTGTTGTCTTGCTTATTTGTCGGCCCTCAGCTCCTAAAATAGTCTTGGATGTTCGTTCATGAATTTGACAAACTGTGACGTGGCTTTCTTTCTTTCTTTCTTTTTTTTTTTTTTTTTTTTTTTTTTTTTGGTTTTTCGAGACAGGGTTTCTCTGTGGCTTTGGAGCCTGTCCTGGAACTAGCTCTGTAGACCAGGCTGGTCTCGAACTCACAGAGATCCGCCTGCCTCTGCCTCCCGAGAGCTGGGATTAAAGGCGTGCGCCACCATCGCCCGGCTGATGTGGTTTTCTTACTGCGCCCTGTTGGACACGGAAGAGACAGTGAGAAGTAGCAGCTTGCCCTCTCCTGTCTCCGCTCTATGGAATTTACAGTCTAACCAGGAGACAGAGATGATAAGCACTGTGCTGGTTGCAAGGAAGCACTGTCCTTCTGCTTGATGGAGACTTTTCTTCAGGTCCCCGCAAGGTTCTGAAGAAGAGAAGGCAGGAAGGGGCCTGGGAAGGTCTGGGAGATCAGAGGGAAGTTAAAAGTCCTAGGGTGTGAGCATGCTGGGTGTCCATGGAAGAGGACACCGGCAGCAAGTGGTACCAGTAGAGTTAGGGAAAGGAGGCTGGAAGCCCACTCCAGGGACCTCAGCTTTGACCCGGGGTGCTACTTAGGACTTAACAAAGCAATGGATCTTTTAGTAGGAAAGAGGGTTCCAGGTGCTAGAACCCGAAGGTACTCCAGAGTTGCTGGGAGACCAGCAGGGCTGTTGAAAGGGAAGGGTGCTGCATGGAAAGGTGGGTGTGGAGGGTAGGTTAGGTGCTCAATTCTTGGTAGGATTGGGCGTGGAGGGGCAGACTCAATGCTCTACTGACTTAGTAATTAATAAATATTAACTGCGTACTTCCCTACAGCCGCCCTCTGAGTCATCACAACATTTACTTGGCTCCAAGACCACTATTGCCCCACTGTGCCCTCGCCCCGTTAACTTAGAATTCTCTGGCTTGTCTTTCCAGAGCTTTCCCCGCCATCTCCAAACCTGGCCTTCTGTAAGTGACAAGCTTCCATCATTAGACAGTCACTACTGAGTGTTGTGCTGTCTGAACAACTCACTTTTGGACCACTGGCATGCACACCGAATGTGCATGCTAAATACTGTCAAGAGTGGTGGCCATGAACTTTCATTTTGGCCCAGGCTGAAAGAGTCTAAGCTGAAGTTGAAGTCCGAGTCAGGACCATTCTCTGCCCCTCCCCCAGAAAGTCCATGTCCATGTGCATGCTCCCCCTTCATGGCCTGGCCACTGCAGATGCTACCTCGGAGCCTGCCAGTAAGCCACGGCAGGAAGATCTGCATACCCCTCCCACCCTGCAGCTGAAGCAATCATTTTTCTAAATTTTTATTTTATAGCAATTGTCATAGTTAGAGAAGTAAATAACACATTTAAAAACCTCCTCAGGGCCAAAGGATGCCAGAGTATTTACAAAGACATGGGGTAGGGGAGGCAAGACAGGAGCGCGAGGCTCAAGGGCTTGGGTTCAACCCAGGCCCTGCCCCAGACTTGGACAGATGCCAACCACCAGCACTGTGCTGTGGGCTCGGGGAGCATCACACAGCCTGGGGCCCTCTACTCACAGGATCCGGTGGGAGACCTCTAGCTAACTGAAGGCCCCACTTCCTATCCAGGAAGTTCCCCTACATCCAACAAGCCAGTTCAAGGGGCCCCTGGGAAGCACCAAAGGACAGGGGCAGTGTGAGGGACACCAGGCTGGGACAGGTGTCATAGATGATCTGGCCTGCCCTGGGGTGAGACAGAGACACGCACATACGTGTGCGTACATGAACAAACTATACCTTCACAGAAAAACTGCAAAGGGGGAGGTTTCTCCTGTGGGTTTTGTCTTCTAAGTCTCCATGTCTACGATGTTAATTTTTTGCTATTATTATTATTATTATTATTATTTTGTTTCTTCAACAGTGACAAACTGAGGTAAACATCTGTAACCAACACCTCTCCTAAGGGGCAAAGGGTCCCAACCCAACAGACAGAGACAGTACCAGTGGTGGTAGCAAGAGTGGAGCCTGACCCAGCCTGAGTCTGGTTCAGGGTCAGGCTGGTTGCTGCCTCTGAAGGATGGGGCCGGGCTACGAACCTAAAGTCTTTTCTGAGGACTACCAGATACTACAAGGGAGAGGCCTCCCACACAGGATCTCAACAGAGAGAGGGCGCACATGGGACGCGGGATGTCTACTGTGGAATCTCGCTTCCTTGTTATTGCAGATCAGGGTGGAGAGGCCTAAGGCAAGAGGAGAAGTAGCGGCTGGGAAGGAGGGCCTAGTGGCCCCAAGTGGGCCAGGGCAGTGATGGGGGCCTTCTGAGATTCGGCTCTTGGTAGGAGGAGGGGTTTGCTACTTACCTGGCATGTGGGCCCTGTGTCCACTAGGGAAGTGGTGGCACCCCAGGAAAAGTGGGACCAGGCCCTGGAGCAACCACAGTTTGTAAACTGGACTCAGGCAGGGCAGGGAGACCTATAGCCCTTTGTGGTGGGAGCCAGGGGTTGTGTAGAGAGGTGGGGGCTCCAGGCTGAGGGGTGGTTGGTGCCCCTTGCAGCTAGCCAGCCAGCCCCACTATGGAACCTCCTAGAATGACCCAGAACTTTTGGAGGGACCCTAGGAGAGGCAACCCAGGCTGGTCAGTTGGGTGGTGCCAGGCGGAAGGTACAGCCTCCCTGTGCTGAGGTTATTGCAGGGGTTCCTTAAGCCTCCACAATGAGGAGTCCCAAAGGAGAGCAGGGGCAAGGTGAGATCCTGTTTTGTTGCCGAAGAACCTGAGCCAACAGCAGGTGTCTCCTGGGATTCCCTGAGGAGTGTGGTAAAACACAGGCCTGGCTCTTGGCAGCTGCCTGGTGAGGTGTCCGGACCCTCAAAGTCACCAGACACACATCACACTCACTCTGACTTCAACGACTTCCTGTCCCATCCACTGATGTGCTCCTCCCCTGCAAGGGTACTGCCCTAGAACCGTGAGGCTCACACACGTGATTGACAAACCCCAGGAATAACTGGCGCAACTGTTTCCCTGCTTGCTGAGTGCCCAGGGAAGGAACAGCTGGGCTGTGAATGCACCCCCTTACCCTAGAGACACAGGAGTGCCAAGCCTCCCGTTCTCCTGCCATCTGTTCCCCTATACTCTCGGGAGGGGTACCTACTGGAACTCTGTTCCCAATGGCCTCGTGGTTGCGGTAATGGCTCTCCCTTCTGGGATCTAAGTACCCATCAGCAGGAAGAGGTGAGGGGGCATCTCTAATATTCGGGTCTATTCCTGCACACAACTTTCGCTACATTTAGGGGGCTTGGCCTCTCCCTCTGACCTCCTGGGCACCACTGTTGTCAACCCAGTGCCTGTTCCCAGCCAGTTTCTAAGGGTCTCGTGCTCATCTCTGCCCAACACCAAAGGCCCCTTTCTGTGCCCAGGTTTGGATGGAAGATTGTAGGGTGATCTGCCAAGGGGTGTGAAGCGCCAGGAGTGTCCAGGTTCCAGAGCTCAGTCTGGCCCACAAGCTCCCAGCCTTTGTCAGGGGCCTCGGCTCCTCTGGGCTGAGGACGGCCACACACATGGTCATCCGCTAGCTATGTCACCAGCCCACCACCGACCTGGGTGTCTGGGCCTCCTAGTCTACACTACTCCCTCCCACCGCGCTGTGGTTGCTCCCTGTCCCCAGTATGGGTTGGAGCATACGCGGCTTCCCCGCAGCGGCTGCGCTGCTCCTAGCAGCTCAGACGCAGATCTCGATGGCCGTGGCCAGCACCACCTGCCCTTTGCTCTTGTCTGCACGGCTGTCGGTCCTGCCCTGGGGAGCGGACGGAGCCAGACTAGCCTCAGGCACGGGCACGGGCACCGGAACGGGCACCACGCTGGGCGGCGAGGACCGTGAACCGCTGCCACTCTCGGTGAGCACTGTGCGCTTGAGCGGTGCAGGAGCCTCGAGGCGCAGGGGCCCAGGCAGGCGGTCCCCAGGAGGTTTGCGTGCCCGGTGCGAAGGCCGCCGCCGAAGCTCAGATGTGAGCTCGTGCTTGAGGAAGCGGAAGACCTCCTTTGCCGGCCCGCGACGCTCGGGCTCCAGAGCCAGCAGCCGCTGGAACATGCGCAGTGCAGGCTCGGTGAAGCGGCGCCACTGCGAAGGCAACCCAGGCAGGCGGCCCCGCTGCCAGCGCACGAACTCCTCGAAGAAGGCATCGGCGCCCGATGCAGCCTCCCATGGGAAGTTGCCGGTGAGCACGCAGAAGATAAGCACTCCGAACGCCCACACATCCACGCCTGTGTCCACCGCGAAGCCATCGGCACGGCCCGCCTGGCACACCTCGGGCGCTGTGTAGGGTATAGTGCCGCTCACACGCTTCACACGGCAGCCCACGCGCCGCGTCATGCCGAAGTCCGCCAGCTTCACACGGCGGCACTCACGGTCAAACAGCAGCACGTTCTCGGGTTTGATGTCGCGGTGCACTAGCTGTCTGCTGTGCATGAAGTCCAGCGCCAGCCCCAGCTGCTGCACACAGCGCTTCACCGTGTCCTCGGGGAGCCCCACCTGCGGGGGACGGGAAGAGCTGCTCAGGGGTAGCCAGGTACGCCTGCCCTCACCCCAGTTCCTTCTTTTAGGCCCTGCCACCGTGGGGGCCACAACTCTCCTGCTGTCCTCTGGCCCTGCCTTGATCCTGATACCTACCTGCTTGTCCTCCTCCCAGCCTGGCAGGATACCCCTCCTGTTCCTTTGCTAGGTGTCGTGACCCCAACCCTTAAGTGGAAAGTACCAGGACCCCCTCCATTTGCTCCAGGGTTACCTTCTCTGGGGCCTCAGTTCTTGTTCAGTTGTTTATTACTTGCCGTGTGGAGGAGTCAACCCAGACTTGTATATATGCTAGACCTACGCCATTAGAAAACTTCCAGTTTTTTGAGATAGGTCTCACTATTCAGCTCAAGCTGGTGTAAAACCCATGGTCTTTCTGCCACTGCCTCGCTTCCCAATTATTGGGATTACAGGCATGCACTACCACACCCTGTTTTCTGGTTGATCAACCAGTCCAACTCCTTCCAGGCTTTCATACTCTGGCAGCCCCAAAGGCCATCTCTCCTCTCTCCAACACTAACTGAATTACCTGGGGAGGGATGATGTCAAACAGGTCCCCAGCAGGTGCATACTCCTGGGCAAAGACATAGCATTCCTCAGTCTCGAAGACCACGTCAAAGACCTTGATGATGAAGGGGCTGGATGACAGGCTGTTGGTGATGCTCACTTCACGCAGGAAATTCTTCAGCTTCGTCTTGCTCTTATTCACAAATTTCAGGGCCATTTTGGTGCCTGGCAGGGCCACAGCAACAATAGTGAGACCCTCTCCCTCACAGATAAACCCCCACATCTAGCTGTACAATCTGTCCCCGCAATTCGGCTAGTGGACCTGGTCAGCATGATGTCCTCATGGCACAGTAAACACCTAGGTCCACCCAGCAGATAAGGCTGACCTGAGTTGTCTACGTTGCAACCAGGAACACTTATTGCCTCCTGCCCCAAGCCATTTTCCTGACCTACTGTCTACTCATCTGTCACATTTGTCTCCCCAGCTAATAACCTCGGCTCCCTGAGGCACAGAAACCTGCCTTGTACTGGTGCCTCCAGAATTTGCCACACAACAGGTACTCAGCAAATACTAGCCAACAGGTGCATTAAGAGAAGCCCCTGTAGGACACTGGTCCCCCAAACTGGGCATGCATGTGCAGCCTGCTGGGCATGCAGACATGCAATAGCAACAGAATGCTACACATCATAGGCCCTGCCTTCAACACTTCACGTTCACCTTCCACACTACCAATGACCCAATAAGGTCAGCATCGGTTCCCTTCTTTCCTAAATAGAGGAACCAGGTTACATTGCCCAGGGTCACACAGAAAGCAATAAAGTGCCCCTATGCAAGTGTTTTCCTGCTGCCTTAGCACAGGCTCCTCCTGCCCTGGAAAGTAGAGTGTCATCCCAGCTCAAACATACAGTAGCTCCACGGCCTTCGTTGGCTGGCTGAACATGGAGAAACGTGTCCAGACCAAGCCATAGGAACATTCCCCACGCTTCTACCTGAGGAGTCCCGTTCCCAAGGACCTGTCCTCACCTCTGTCCAGTTCCCTAGGTGTCGCCAATGCTCTCCAATCACAATTTCTAGCAGTGTCCTCTCCCTGGGCACATCTGTCTCAAAGGCACCCAGATGGCCCCCAAATAGCTTACCCCTCAGTGTGGGCCCTTTGCTAACTCCTACTTACTGTGCAGTGTATCCTTTCCATATGACTATCTGCTCTGCAGCCTTGCTGGCCCTCTATCCAGGCATGTCCCTACCCCGACCTTAATACCCTGCCACATTACCAACCAACACTCACCTGTGCCCTTGTATGCCACCAGGTCAACCTTTCCGTAGGTCCCTTTACCCAGCTCCCGGACAAGCTCGTAGTGCTTGGTAACGTCGCTGGCAGTCAGTGTGCGTAGCGTCAGTGCTTGCATGTCTTCTGTGAGGAGGGGCACACCGGCACCTGGTACAGGGGCGGCCCCCGGCCCGCAGCAAGGCAGGGAGTGGAGCGGTTCAGGCTCTGGGCAGCCCACGCTCATCTTCTCCCTGTTGTGAGGTATGGCATGGTGAGAGACAAGCAAGCCCCCCTGCTTCATCTACGTCCCGCTTCCCCAGCACCTAGGAAATTCCCAGCTGGGCCACAGGAATGCAAGCATTTGTGAATCCTGTCACTATCCCCGGAGTTGCTGGAGAGAACCACTGTCCCTCGTTAGGTCACAGACCCATTCGTCGCGCGCGCTAACCCACACAGTGCCCGGCGAGCACACAGGTTTGTCGCACAGCAGCAGCCACGCATACGCTCCCATTCACAAATTTTGGGTTTCTGTTGTGGGCGGTGCTGGAGGGGGTCAAATCTAGAATTTACACATGCTAAGCATGTGACCTGTCACTGAGCACAGTCCTAGCCTCAGTCACAGTGACGATGAAGCACCTGTTATCCAGGTGTGTATCACAGCCTTTGGGGACCCCAGCCCTGTGTGGCTGCATGAGAACCTTTGCCCTCGTGGGTTTATGTGTCAGAAACATGGACGACGGCAAACACAGCAAACACACAAATGGCATTTCACAGTCAGATGCAGGGTGGGCTCAGTAGCATGAACTGGGGTCAGTTAATGGCAGCCTCTGCCATACCAAATACCTTAGCCACACCATTTTGCCCCACACAGGCAGGAGAGTGCTCGTGCGGCCACACGGTCATAACACATTGCCCTCTGGTGGTATGGTCCTGGGCCTAGCCCACAGCAGTCCTGCTTTTCCTCCGCCCCAGTATGCCCACAGCTGGGCCGGTCTTCATGGATATGCCCCTCGTGGCTACTGGATGTTTCCACACAGACTATCATCCTTGAACGGCCCTGCTGCTGTTGGGGGTACTGAGCACCACGTGGGGTGGAATCAGAGGCTGGAGACTGACTGTGATGGTGAAACCAATACCCAACCTGGGGCCCTCGTTTCTGTTTCCCACTTTATTATGATTTGCCCCATTTTTCCGCAGTTTTACTGAGGTTTGCTTGGTATATGATAAACTACATATTTAAAACACGATTTGATGAGTTTGAACAAATGAATATTCATGAAGCCATCATTGCAATCAACATAATGAGCATATCTGTCACTCCAACAGTTTCCTTTTGTTCCTCTAAGCCTGCTCTATCTCAATCCTTATCTTCCAGGCAACCGTCCAGAACCTTCCCTTCTTTAGCTATGGGGTGCATGTGTGCTAGGAGCAGAGCCTCTCCCAGGGGTGCTGGGCAGGCTGTGTGCATGCGCATGAGTGTATCGGCTGGGGGTCAGCATTCAGGCCTGCCGTCGGCTGCCTCTCATGCACCCTCCTTGGGCCTCTCAACCCACATCACAGCTATTCTGAGTCCTCTGCTCCCTGAAGGACACAGCAAAGAGCTCCATCCAAGATGAGGCACGACGTCCAAGCCACTCAGGCTGGGTTCGGAGACCAAATGTCACTTACTAGTTGGACAGGTTATATCTGTACCTGTTTCCTCATCTAGAGAGATTTAGTAACAGAACCCACTTCCCATGAGCCATTGTGAGGTTAAATAGGCACGAAGCACCTGGGGCACAGCAAGTACTCTGTAGGTGTGTGCCTTGCCAAGTCTCCAGTCACAGCCCCAGACAGGCTCTGTGAGGTGGTAGGTAAGAATGGTGCGGCTTCTCCTTGGCTTCAGGGCTTCAGGGCTGTCAGGGCCATAAGCCCATGCTCATTTGTGCGTTCACTCTTTTTGGACAAGGACTACAATTCTGAGCTGGAAGCTGGGGGTGCTGGGAGCACCCCATAAGCTTTGGCCAGCCACTCCCTTCCAGGTCAGACCCTTTCCCCTGCCTTCCCTTCCTTCCTGGCACGACCCAGCCTCCCACTTCACACAGAGAGGAGGAACATCAGGAGGGAACTTCCTGGCCTCCCACCAGACATAGGCGGAGCTCCATCTGTGCCATCCTCAGCAATGGCTGGGATGAGAGAGCCCCCCCCCCCCACCGCGCTGGCTCCCACTTCTTCTGCTTCCCCAGGCTCCTGCTCTCTCCATTCATGAACGCGCTCTGTTCATAGACCCCGTTCTCCCGCCCCCAGCTTCAGCCTTTTGCTGAGTTTTATTTTGACTCTAGCTGAGATGCCACAGCATCACCCTGGGAGTCTAGTCTGTGGCATGGTGATGTTTGCATAAACCCGCCAGATGATGGCGGAAGAACCAGTTCTGTTTCCCCAATGTCCCCAGTCCCAGGCTAGGATTCTGTCATAGCCATGACTGGACCATACTAGGGAGCTGGGAAAGGGGAGGGGCGTTTTCCTCAGCTTCAGGGCTTCTGGGACCATGAGTTCTCTCAAATGTCCACCAACTATCTGAGGAGGACAAGTTAGTACCCATGGTCGGCTTCCTCTCAAAAGGGAAGGACCACCAATTTTGAGGGTGTTCTCATGCCACTGTCCCTAGCCATTCAAGGACAGTGTGTGGTTTTTCCTAAGGGTTTCTGGTAAGTACACAGTCCCCTTAATCTGGAGCCTTCCCCACTCCCCAGGGAGATGTTGGGCTGGCCATCTGACATGTGTACACTCCTGGAGATGGAGACAGACAGCCTGATGTGTAGGCCTATGTACTCTTATGATGCAACTCCCACTTAGAGCATCAGCCCTGTTCAGTCCCCTTACACTGCTTCTGTGTCCTCTGGGACGCTGGCAGCTGCAAGAGGTTTTATTCCTTCCATACCCAGGCCCAAGGGTGCCTCCTTGTGGGCCTCACAACTGTCCCTGGACACTCAAGCCAGTTCCGACCACCACCCCACACTGCCTCTGCAAAATTTAGAGGCTGCTAGTCAGGCCAGTGTTCCTAAGCAACCTTTACTTTTCACTTCCTGTCTCCCTGCCTGACCGCCATGGTGCTACAGTCCTTGGGTCCCTTTCCTCTATGAACCTCTGCTGCCCTGGCATACTGGTACTGGAAGAGCTTCTATCTGTGTGTTCCCTGCTGGGCATGTTAGGGAAAATGTCTCAACTGTGCCCACCTGTCAACAAGCCAGAGGCCAGACCAATCCATCCTCTCTGTATCACTCCCTAAATCTACTGGATAAGTTCTGGGGATACCCAGCCATTCGTTTCCCATTGTCATGTTCTCCACAAGGTGTTGGCAAGAAGCAGTGTTATCCCTGCTGCTGTGTCAATCCCTCAGGTACATACTGCCTCTGACTCAGTTATCAAACATGACAGACACACAGGAGGGAGCGACAGAGATGGCATGAGCCTAGAACAGTCATGGCCTTGATCCTATTGTGAGCCATTTCAGTTGGGTGACCTATAGACAGGGGCTTCAGTTTACACATCCATACGTTAAAGAAAACAAAATGCCGGGTAGTGGTGGCATGCCTTAAATCCCAGCACTCAAGAGGCAGAGGCAGGTAGATCTTTGTGAGTTTGTGGCCAGCCCAGGCTACAGAGCCGAGTTCCAGGACAGCCAGGGCCACACAGAGAAACTCTGCTGAAAATTAAAAAAACAAAACAAAACAAAACAAAACAAAAAACCCAACAAAGCAAAACCAACCAACCTAACAAACAGACAAAAAAACCTTAGCCAATCTGTACCTACTGCAGCAAACCTGTCGTAAGGACTCAGCTAGTCTTAACTCCATAGTGCAGTGCTGCTATTGTATGATGAAACAATGCATAACCACAAAGTGGCTTGCCCACAGTCACACAGCTAGCATTGGAACTGGATCCAAATTCCATCCTCTAAATCAGTTCTCTCCCAAGACAAGTGTTGGGAACAATACACCCAGATCCTGCAGTAGCAGGGTGGAGTCTCAGCCAAGCATACCCATATAATCCTAACAGTTCCTGTTGGCTGTCTGGTGCCACCGTTCGTTCCTCACAGTGATGTCACGTGGCTCCTGGTATACATGACAACTTGAGACCGAGTGTAGCACGACGTGCCTAGTTCCTGAGTGGCTGGGAAGATAAAGACACATCTAACATCAGGCTAACACTGCCCTCCAGGTCCTGACACACGTCCTCTCAAATGCACTTAGCTATAGCCTCTATACCTCTGAGCCACCTGTACCAGGAAGCAGGTTTCTGCTGACCTCTGCTTCCTCCCTGCTTGGCAGGGCACCACCCACACTCTGGGTGACTGCTGCCCCAAGAGACCCTTCGGGTGGTGCACTTCCAGGGTGTGTCCCCTACTGGCCCTGAGACTCATCTGGAGCTTTCCCCAGCCACCAGGTGGGCTGCTGTCTTGACCATCTGATGTGTATATACTCCAGGAGATGGAGATGGGCAGCCTAGTGTGCTGGGATGGCAGTCTTGGCTCTGCCACATGCTGGAAGGCCACCATAATGGGGGAGGGTTTCCCAAGTGAGAAGCAAGACTGAACCGCCTACCACTTCCTGTTGGCAGGCAGCCTGGGTTGGGCGCCACCCTGTGATGCTACACCCAGCACAGTGCTTTGGAACTCTCATTCCTTACCATAAGCAGAGACAAACACACACAAGCCATAAATGTATGCACACATACATACAAACACGCACACACACATGCAATGGCACCAGTTTGGCAAATTTTTGCTCACTGAGTCCTCGCAACACCTTGAGGAGAGGGCAAGGAGCTGCCTGTGTTGTACAAAAGCAGCTTACTTGCTGTGTGACTTATATACCCATGAACACTTTAGTGGCCTGGGTAAATGTACAGACCCAAGCAGCCACTGCTGCTATCGAGTGATGTTTTCTGCTCTACAGATAATAATACCAGCGGCTCAAGACTCTTCTGACTCGTCTGTGGCTATGGCAGTCAGCCAGCTGCTAGCAAAGTCTCCTCTTCTACAGTACAAAGTCACCACACTCGTCAGCTTCCTTCATGTGGCCATGTGGCTGGCTTCCCCCACTGGGATGGGAACACAAGTGACGTGTGTTATTGCCAGCTCAGGACTTTTTCCAGTTGCAGAAGCCTCCTAAATGCTGGCTTGAACAGAGGACCCCCAAACCCTCAAACGTGGTAGAGGCACAATGGAGGTACAGCAGCTCGAGTCCCCAAGGAAGGGGGTGAAGATTAC